AGCAAAGCTTAAGTATATAACACCAACAGTTTCTTGCCAAGAAACCTATTTTCTTGCTCAAGAAAGCTGTTTCTTGCCAAGAAACTCGTTTGTTGAGCAAGAAACTTGTTTCTTGACTAACAAATATTCAATAAAATATTTATTTTTTAACAAAAAATTAATTCAACTCCTAAACTCAAGAAAAAAGGGCTCATAAACGCATGTTTATTACGTCTTTGCGAAGAATCCGACTGACGAAGATATCACGAATTACAAAAAAAAAACAAAAAAAATGGCTTTAGCTATTTATGCAGACGAAAAGCTTGTAGATTGAGTAATGTGGTTTGTTCACTTGTTTTATGTTGGGTTTTGTAGTTTAAACACTTGGAGGATTGAGTTTTATCGTTGTTTGTGGGTTGAAGTTGCTAAAAACTTCTGATTGAGAATTGTTGTTATTTGTGGGTTGAATTGGTTTATATTGGGAACTTGATTGTATGCGACAGAAAGTTTGTCGATGTTGGTTGATATTTAGTGAAAATATTTTTTTGTTCACTTTGTTCTATAAAGCGTTGTGTCGATTTTTTTAATGATTCAAAAGAAAACTTTCTAGCCCAATTAATCTCTTGCACAATAAATTCCCCTAGCCTCTCATTAACTATGTAGCATTGCAATTAACATTTTCATAATTGGGCTTAATCTTGGGCTGAAATTAGGCAGGTATGTTGTGCTCGATAATTGATCGTGTGAACTTCCGTACAATGGTTAGCGTCCACAAACGTACTCCAATATACTGAAAAATAATACATAAAACGTCAAAGCAAATATATCCATCTAAATAATAAATAAATCGAAAAATACAAACATGCGCATAAATTAAGTGTATAAAAATACACTATTAAATATATAAAACGTGCACATTATTCGACCTATCAGAGCGGTAATTTATTTTGACTCTTTTTAAAGATGCCCGTGAATTTTGTTGGTGTCGTGACCGATGCCAAAGAGCTTGGTGCCCGGAATGAAGGTCCTCCTCTATAATTCTCGACTCCGTCTTTTTCCGGAAAAGCTCAAATCTCGATGGAGTGTTCGTTATGTTGTCGATGTGGTGTTCCCGAGTTCCCTGCACTAAACCGAGCATTCTTGTATTGTTGTAAAAAAAAACTGACCGTAAAAATAAATAATAATAATAAATAAACAAATAAACGATTTTCATGTGGTCATGACCTCCAAGGAACGGTTCAAGAAAAACTCTATTTTTTTAAATCCAAAAAAATATGAGTTCAACAAAATAAAATGGTTCTAGAAAAATCAATAATTTTGAGAGCTCATACATGATTTTTAGAACAAAAATAAACCTTTTCAAAAAATTATTTCTTTAACATATTTAAAAAAAAAATTATGTTGGCAAACAATTAAATCAAAGATTTTTATGGGCCATACATGTTTTTAGTTTAATTTAAGAATGAATTTTGGGAAGATAGAGTTGTTTTTTTTTTTTTTTTTTTAATAGTTGGGAATTGCATTGGCACGTGGTGATGGTGGGGGGATTGGGACCAATGTAGATGAAGGAATGGAGGACAAAATGGAGGAGTGAGATTTTTTTTTAAAAAAAAAAATTTAATAAGGGTAACATTGTCTTTTTATACCCTAAAATGGCTAGTTTTCATTTTATCTACAAAGATGGCTACTTTTCATTTTATACTTCAAAAAGTGGCCATAAAACCGTGGCACTGGTAAGTAAAGTATGTGTCTATATTGTTAGGGCATCCAGATCCTTTAATATTCATTCAATCACAATTTATACCTTCTCGCATCCACATCATTTTCACATCATCTTTCCACTAACTATCTCTCCATTTAAACACACACACATATTCCATCATTCATTTAAACACAAATATATGGGACCCATTACCACTTATTCAATACTATTTTTATATTTTATTCTTAATAGAAATAAATGTATTTTTTAATTAGAATATTTAATTTTTAAATTTAAAATACACTAAATATTATTAGATTTAAAAAAAAAATATAAATTAAGATTACAAAATAAAAAAAAAAGTAATTAAAAACAAGAAAAAAATTAAATAATTAATTGAAAACAAAACAGAACAAAAATAAACAAATTAATTGAAATTCAAAATAGAAAAAAATAAAAACAAAAAAAAACACCAAAA